TCTGTGTAGGCAAATCCTGCTACTAACCTGTTAGGGTTCTTATGTTACCACAGGGAAGAGAAGGAGCTGCTCTTCCCCCAATATATACGAACTTAAATTCCTGCCCACCTGGCAGGAGGGAGTAAAGCAAGATTTGCTTAATTTAGAAAAAGAAGGATGTAGTTATATTTGGGGAGGGCTCTGGAACGGTGGGTGGTGGTTAAAGGAGGGCTTTAATTTATCTGTAGCCGTTCAGTTCTTTTTTTTTTTTTTAACAATTAAACTATAAAGAAGCATGATGCACCCTTGTGTTGTAGAGTAAATTCATATCCAGAGCTATGGCTAGTACATTTCTGATTTGCCTCTATGCTTTGTCTGGACAGATGTGGCTCCAGAAGCTCATGGCTTGGCAAATAGAACTTGAGCGGTGTGTAATCTGCATAACTATTCACAGTAACCCTGCTAATACCCCTGAAGAAGAATACCAAGGTAGACTGTCCAGTAAACGCTAAACGTGCTAATTCTGGTTTCCGAATTTGGTTAATTTTTTATCAGTAAGATATAGATTAATAGTAAGAAGGCCTTGGCCCACATACAAATGGAAAGGCTTGGCATTTGGGTCAGATAAGCTTTGGTGGGCTGAAACCACCCTTTGAGAATCCTTCTTTAAGGATAAGGGCTGGGTCTCATTCATCTTTGAATGGACATGGTAGCTGGGCACTCAAGACACTATCTACTCCTTAATTGATCTCAGGCTTAGAAATTCCAGAGGCTTGGCCTATCTACTATAAGCTAAAGTTGGAGAACACACTCAGAAAGTGAGCCAAGGCTGCCTCTACCATGCTCACTCTGAGGATGGGGAAGTGGAGGCATGGGGGCGGGGATGTATACATACACTCCCTTGTAGCTAGCAGTGCCCTTCTCTGCTGGGCCAAAAGCCACTGCTTGTAGGTGTTGGCCAGGATATCAGTGGTGATGCTGTTTTGCTTCCCCAGAGAGCTGAGATAGATCACAATATCCTCTACTTCTTGGTTTCCTAGAGGGACTCCAACCTGAGGAGAGAAGAGAAGCCCCCAAGGCGGGCAGACTAAATCCAAACATCCTGCCAGGACAGCCAAGGCCTTGCCAGCCTGGCCCTACCTCCCAGTCTGGTTTTATCCACAGCCACCCACAGCTTACACCCAAGGTACCTGATAGAGGAGCTCAAAGCCCTTTTCTGGACCCTGAACACATCCTACACTTTCTCACCCTCTGCCTTTACTCAGGTGTTTCCCCTTCTATACCTAAAAAACTCCTATCCCTCTTTCAAAACCCAGTCCAGATATGCCACCATCTTTAAAGAGTCTATTACTCCTTCCTCTGGGCTCCCACCCTACTTCATACCAATATCAATGCCAGCTTTCCCATGCTGGATTTGAAGAGGGATTTCACATATCTGTCATCCTTGCCCATGAGGGACACATAAGCCTCCCTTAACTGAAGTAAAATAGGACCAGAAATATGATACATGTTACTCTTTTAAGGTCTGTGAGCAACTTTAGAAGAGTAAAATGCTTGCCATCAATACCAAATATTCAAGAAGGAAAGTTTTAAAGGGAATATAATTTTGTTCTTCAGCTTGTTTAGACTGCAGTCGTTGTTATTGAGCTTTCCTTAAAGAGGATCGGAACTCTCTAGGTATGAAAGGATTTAATGTTTTACCCTCTTGGCTATGATGATTAAGACAGTTTATTTTTACTTCTTTATTTTTTAATGTTTTGAAATGTTATTCAGATCGGTACATGCCATAAAACAATGGTGTGAAAACTGGCAATGATTTAAAACTGTAAGAGGTGTGGCAGTCAGCTTCCTAGAGTTATTTTATAAGGTATCTTGCATTCAAAGTATATAAAAGCTTAATTCATTTGGACCAAGGGTCAGCAAACTTTTTCTATAAAGGGCCAGATAGTGAATATTTTAGGCTCTGTGAGTCATAGAGTTTCTGTCATAATTACTCAACTCTGCCATTGTGGCATGAAAGCAGTCATGACAATACATAGATGAATGCGTGCGGCTGTATTCCAATAAAACTTTATTTACAAAAACAGGAAGCAGGCTGGATTTGACTTCTAGGCCATAGCTAGCAGATCCCTGCAAGACCAGTAGAACTTTCTGTAACAATGGAAATGTTCTCCATCTGTGTGGTCTGATAGAGGAACTGCTCACCACGTGTGACTACTGAGAACTCAAAATGTGGCTGGTGTGGCTGAAGAACTGGATTTTTTATTTTATTAATTTGTAATTAATATACATTTTGAATAGCCAGTGAAAGTGTGGTCCGTGAACCAGTACCATGGGAGCTAGTTAGAATGAAGCATTTTGGGCCCTGCACAGAGGTACTGAGTCAGAAGCTGCATTTTCATGAAACCTGTATGTAATTTATTCACCAGTGACAGAAAAGCTCTAGAAGGTTCTAGAGGGAGGACTTAAGGCCCAGCAATCTCTGTGCTCAGTGCTGGGGTCTGATAGACAAGACAGTGATTCCAAAGGCAGCCGGCTGGTTATGAGGTCAGTTCTGCAGACTTTCCACTCTGGTAGGGCCTTTCAAGGTCAGACTGGTGTAGGGGAGGTTTTAGGGGCCTGATATGGCTGCAGGTTAAGACACATTTTCCAATCTGGCTTTACAAGTGATAAGGCTGATAGTTTGAGTTTCCTGAGTCTCCTTTTCAGTTGGTCCAGGACCTGGGGTGGTAGACAGCAGAAGGAGGTGCAAGGACACCCTCCCCATTCACACCAACCCAGAGGGAGCGCCGGAGGCACTTACTGCCTTTAGAGCCATAATGAACTCCTCTCTGGAGATCTTCTGGTTCTCAGTCTGGTCCATCCTGTTAAATAGCTCCAGGATCTTGATCTTGCGGCCGTACAGGTAGGAGTATAGGGCCGACAGGGTAGGGGGCTTGGGCAGTCGGAGCTGGGGCACTGGTCGGTGGGGGAGTCGGAGATTTTTCTTCTGAAAGAGACGAGAGCAGGGCAGAGGGGAGAGTTCAAGGGAAGCAGGCCAGTGGAACACGATCCCCCGAGTTAGAGAGAAATGGGAGAGAGAGACTGAGCAGCTCTAAACAGACAGCAAGATGGAGTGCAAAGTGCTTTGGATTTGGGCAACTGCGGGACCACTTCATTCTGCCAAAGAATGACTGGGAGACTGCTTCTCTGGGCCTCTGCTTTCTATCAGAAACAAGAGGCTTGGACAATATGAGAACTAAAATTTCATTCTTATCCACATCTCTCTTGTCAGACCAGTCAGTATTATAATCCTACTAGGCTCTTAGTGTACTAAAATATATGCCGCAGCCTGGAGCCAGACGTGGGCTCCTCCTCACTCCTCCCACCTCCTAGCCTTTGCTCCTGCTGACTCTTCTGCCTAGAATGCCTTTCTTTCTCTACCTGTCCAAATTCTACTCCTCCTCCAATTTCAGGTGAGTAGGAATGTTTAGAATTAACACTCCCTTGCCTTGATACAGCCCCAGTCAAGCCTTCAGATGTCTGTGGCCTGAGCCAACATCTTGAGATGTAAGACTCTGAGCCAGAGCCATCAAGCTAAGCTCCTTCCAGATTCCTGACTCTCAGAAACAGTGAGATAGTAAGCACTTGCTGCTTTAAGTCATTTTGAGGTATTCATTATCCAGCAATAGGTAACTAATACATCTCCCTTTCAGGACTTCTGTTTGCTCCTCTGTGAAACGGGGTGAGCAATCCCCATCCTGCCCCTAACACTCTTAGTGTCTTCACCTTGGTTGGTCTGGTAGTAGCCAGGTGGGCCACCAACTGGGCCTCATGTTCCTTATGGATCTTGTGTAAGATCTTGGCTTCTGAAGGTGTGAGGCTGGACTTGTTCTGCAGCCACCTTTCTGTGTTGCCAAATGACTCCAGATCCTGCCGAAACTTCAATCTCCGGCTCAGCCAGGTCTTTACATCCTCCGGCTGTTCTTGGATGTCCCTGGCTTCCGGGGCTTTGAAGCTGGGGATGGGATGTGGGGAAGCCTGAGGTTGAGGTGTGGGATTGATGGGCATCGGATCCTCCTTCTGAGGCAAGATGATGATCCGCCGGCGGCTTCGAGGCAGGTGGAAGTCTTCCTGCTTGAACTGCTTGAAGCAGTGGGCAATGACCAGTTCAGGATTGAAGACGGCATCCCTGTGGGCATTTTCATTGTCAACTGAGGTCTTAGACTGGTAGAGCCCTTGGGGGAAGAGGGTTAAAAGATGAGTTGCTTTCAGTAAGAGGACTAAAGGAGTCAGGAAGGAAAACTGCTTTAGCACCAGGCTGGGCATTAGGGTACCTGGGTTCCAGGCCAGACTTTATCCTTGCCTCCCTGTAATAATGAAGATAATTATATCTAACATGGCTAGTTGCTCCCAATGGCAGAACAATGCTAAAGGCTTTATGTGTTTTCTCTTATTTAATCTCCTCAGATTCTACTCTTACTCCACTCACTCCCATCCCCCAATACTCCTTATTGGCAATCAGAACGATCTTTTCAAAATGCCCTTCTGATCTGATCTGCTCTGATCATCCGAGGCAGCATAGTGCTGTTAAGAGCAGAGGCTTTGGATCCAGAATGCTCCAGTCTGGGTCCTGGTCCTGACACTTTTGGCTGCATGATCTTGGTCAAGTCCCTTCTCCCGTGTCTCAATTTCTTCATGTGTAAAATGGGAAAAATGATGGTAGCTACCTTATTGAATGCTGGAGATATTTAGAATCAATCCATTTTAGACTTGCTTTGTTCATAGTAAGTGTGCCATTATTTTTTACATACTCACCCTCCACCCATCTTGAAACCTTTCCATGACTTTCCATAGCCCTCAAAATAAAGTCCCATGACCTTCTGCCAACCTTTCCGACTTCATCACTTGCCTAACTTTCCTTACTATGTCCCAGAGGTATTAACCTTCTCTCTGAATGATTCTCAAATGATCCAAGCCTCATCCTGCCCAAGGGGTGGAAGAGACAGAATAGGGAAGATCGAGGGTATGAGATTTGGGGATTTCAGGGTCACTCAACAGTTCCACAACTTGGAAGCACATTGTGTATAAAGGAGGAGGTTAATGGGAAATAAAGTTGGGGTCATTTTGAATGACAGATTAAGGGGTGTAAACTTTACCCTGCAAACCACAGGAACACATTCAAAACATGCTCTTCCATTTCCACTTGCTTCCTCACTGGTCCAGCCACTTCCACTTGCATCCTCCTTACACCCCAAATCCATGACCTGCCCTCAACCGGAAGTCATTCCCTTGTCTGAAACCCTCCAATGGCTTCACTGAAATGCCTTCTCAGGACTCTTAGAATAAATACCACTCTCCTAATTATGGCCTACAAAACTGCCCTTGCTGGATCCGTTCTCCTCTCCTCGCTCAGCTCTTCCCACCTCTCATCCCCCTTGCTTACTTGCTCCAGCTGAAATGGCCCCCTTTCTCTTTGTCCAACTCTTCTAGTTTCATCCTGGCTCTTGGTTTTGGCATTTACTGTGCTCTCTGAAGGGCATGGAATTCTCCAAGTTTCCCCTCTGGCTGAGTCCTTCTCTTCATATAGTTCTCAGCCCAAGTGTCATTACCCCATCGAAGTCACCTCCCAACCACTCTCTTGAAGGTCTCATGCCCATCACACTATGGAGCTTGCATTCTAGTCCCATGGCCTGCCCAGGTCAAGGACTCTTTCTATAACGTCCCTGGCAGACTTAGACTCTGTATACCTCCAGTGATAGGGAGTTCTCTACTTAATACTGGAGACACCTAATTCTGACTGCTAGAAAAGACTTCCTTATATTGACCCAGAATTTGTTTCCCTGGAATTTCTACCTCTTGGTCCTAGTCCTCCCCACTGATGCCCCAGAAAACACATTCGTTTCCTTTTTTTCTAGGACAGCCCTTCTTGTGTCTGGAGACAATTCAACTTTTTTTTTTTTTTTTTTTTAATTCTCCCTTTTCCCTTTGGCTGTGATTCAAATCTCTCCCAAGGTTCCATCTTACCTCTCTGGCTACTTGGGTTAACACCTAGGCTCTCTTCTTTTTTTCAAACAGTCTCCTCTACTCTCATGTTTCTGTGGCTCTCTATACGCTAAGGACACCCATACCAGTATTTACGACTTGGAATTAGTTCCAACTTTCTACACAAAGTTGCTTTTAAAGCAGTTCCATTTGGATGGCCTACAAGGATCTCAAACTCAAACAACATGGAGACGTTAAACTTCTCTCCATGTCTCTGTCCACCTAATCTGGTCCTCCTAGTAAGTTCCTTGTCTCTGTGAAAGGCACCACCATCTACTTAGTCACCCTAACAACCTAACTATCAGTCTTTGATTGCTCTTTCCATGTTCTCCGTCTGATCAGTCCCCAAGTCACTGTAGTCCCCTCTAGCCTGGCCCCTCTCCCTCACCTCCCAATGTCTCCCACTCTCAACATTCTGAGTCTGCCAATTCAGTCTCTGCATTTGCTGATGCTCTCAACTCAATCCCGTCATTCCCAGTGGCTTCTCCATCTCCAGGATCACAAGATCTTTCATGATCTTATTTCTTCTGACCTTGCTTGCCTCTCATCTCCAGCAACACTCAAACTACCAGCAGTTTCCTGAAGACGCCATGTCTCAGGGCCTCTGTGCATGCTGTTCCCTTGGCCTGGAATGCCCTTCTTCCTACTTTTGGCTTGGAGAACTCCTTCATCTTTAATTTAAGCCCCAATGTAAAGATCTTTTCCAGGACCTTGGAACTGATCCTTCCCATGCTCTATATTTAGCAGACCTCTTACTCCTGGCTGTCACTCCTGAATCTAGCATTTACTCCTTCTTACTCTGTAATTATCCATTTATCTGTCTGTCCTTCACCTCTTATGTTGTAGAGCTTTGCCAAGGATTTGTCCCACTGCATGCTAGTCCCAAAAGTTTGAAGACTGTTGGTCTTCCCCATGCCTCTTCTCTAGTACCAAATGCATTAATGTTTGGTGGAGAAATGGGGCAAATTGAGGGCCTGGATTCCAGGCCAAGGCAACTTGGCCCGCTTTTCCAGGTGGGGCATAGAAATCTGAGAAATGTGCAGGACCTGCCCCCGACTCTCTGGCAACCCCTCACCCAGAGGGGGTACGGCACAATGAGATATTTGCGTCTGTCCTTGCCCTCACCCCACTTGCACTTACCGAGCAGCGACAGGAACAAAGCCTCGAACGTTTCATTGGTATAGTCCATGTTCATGGCGCTGGTGTGTGTGTGTGTGTGTGTGTGTGTGTGTGTGTGTGTGTGTGTGCGCGCGCGTGCGCGTGCATATGCGAGCGCACGCACGCGCTTGCTTGCTTTGCGGGGGTGTAGAGATACCTGAAAAACAGTAATTGTTAAGTTTTGCGAGAGACTTGAGACACGCACAGCTTAGAAACAGCCTGTTGCTAGGACTACAGACACCCCGCGCTGATTGGCTGAGCGCCACCACGTGTCGGAAGGTCAGCAGAGGGTGGATTTGTCCTGTACTGAGCGCATGCGAATTAGATTCCCTCCACGGGTCCTGGGAGGGGCGTTAGAAAACCTAAGCGGAACAGAGTTCCCGGAGCCTTGGCTAAAGGCAGGATTTCTTAGTTTAGCCCAGTGGCCCTTGTATCTGGAGTAATAAATCTCTGATTTTCCAGTAAACCGTGAGATCTTTGGCAGGTCCCTATTTTTCCATCTCAGTGTCCTCATTCAAAGAACAGGCCTTGCGTCCTCCAGAGGGGTTGTAGAAACCCAAATGAGTCGTGGCCAAAGACAGTTTTTTGTATGCTTTGCCCAGGTAAAACTGGATACTATGGTTTGGAATTACAGAACTTGAGAAGTGGAGTATTAATAATAAGCATTTGAAATGTCAATCAGCTAATGAATGGATAAATGTTTATCCATACAATGGAATATTGTTTAGTCATAAAAAGGAAGTACTGATATATATGCTGCCTTGAACCTTGAAAACATTGTGCTAAGTGAAAGAAGCCACACCCTAAAGGCCACACATTATGTTTACATTTATAAGAAATGCCCAGAATAGGCAAAGCCATAGACACACAAAGCAGATTAGTGGTTGCCAGACGCTGGGGGTCAGGGTGGTGTGGGGGCATTGGGTTTGATTGCTGATGGGTAAAGAGTTTCTTTTTGGAGGTGATGGAAATGTTCTGGAATTAATGAGAATGGTTGCATAATATTGGGAATGTACTAAAAACCACTAAATTGTATACTTTTAAAATGGTTACATGATGAATTTTATGTGAATTTTGTTTCAATAAAGTTTAAAAAAACCTTTAAACACTTGAGTGCTTACTCTGCATAAGGTACCCCTGTGACTGAAATGCATTCTTTGTGACCCTCTCTACAACCTAAGGCAGACACTCAGACCATCCCTATGGGCCACATTAATGTAGCACTTTTATAAGTAACACTCCATTTAAGCACTTACATGTATTAACTTAATAATCATAACAACCTTTGGAGGTAGGCACCACCAGCCTATTCTGAAGAGATGAGGAAATAGGTAGAGGTCAGGAAACCTCATCTTTAGCAAAGGGAAAAAGCCAGGCCTGGCTGTAGCACTCCTGATGGAGATGAGGGACAGGATTTGACAGTAGGCCCAGACACACCCGATGCCCTAAGCTTGGTGAGGCTGCCCTAGCCTCCAACTCCAGTTGTGGCCTGGGGTTTCAGGGACCTCTCTATTCTCCTAGCTGCAGTGTTTGGGCACCTCGTTCCCCCCTTACCCACTTTGCTCCCCTTCATTATTGTGTGTGCCTTTCCCTCTTCCTGTTAAGGTCTCTACAGAGCCTTTTCATCTTTGTGTCACTCCTCAGCATATAACTTTGCACTTAGTGAAAGCTACTTTGATATTTGTTAAATAAAAATGTGATAGGAAGTTATAAAGAGGGTGTTTGCCGTGGGGTGTGTGTCTGGCCAGTTTTCCTGTTCTCTGGTCATAATCCATCCCTCTCTAAAAACAAACTTGCTCGTTAAAATGGAAACAACCAATGAGCTCTGTAGCATACTGCATTCTATTCACACACACCACCCTACAACAAAGGTAGTTTTCCTAACAATTTATTTATTTTTCACTTATTCAATCCATTTAATTTTCAAATTATACCTTAAAATGGTGATTGGTCTTTGAGACTTACTAATGGGATATTTTTTTTGGTTTGGTGTTTTCTTCTAGGCAAATATTTCAGTATTTTAGCTATAACATTACAAAACCTGTATTAAAAATGACATAACACTTAAAAGCTCCTGATCTCCAGCTGGAAGATGAGAGATGGGTAAATGCTAGAGTTTTTACAAAGGGATTAAAGTAACATGCATGAGCCAGCCAGAAGCCGATACTCTGAAATGGAGCTGCAGGCAGATATTCACACTAGGTTATCAAATGGATGCTGGGGTCAAATATCCAATTCTTAAAATCCAACACATGATGATAAAAGAATCTTATTTTTCTTTGAGGGTTAGCTCTTTTTAGTAAACATATTTTTTAAAATTAACTCCCTAATACTTACTGTAATATCTCTTTACATGTTTGGCTGCAAACTCTTTGTTTCTTCATATAACAATTGTACAGTATCATTTTTATAGAAAGAAAACAAAGTCTAAACTTTCCTCAAGCAAGGTTGACAAAAATTTGCTTTGTGTTATTGACAGTTTAGAAAAGTTTTTTTTCACTTTCAAATCACATTTCATTATTGGAAAAGTCATATGCATTTTTAGGATTGCTGTCAAATAACAATTTATTTTAAAAAATCTCAAAACATGTTGTAGCACATTCAGTAGCAAAGATCTACTAGTGACACAAGCATTAAGAAAACATAATTAGGTTTCTAGTTGGCCTGATTAAAATCTATATACTTGGAAAGGTAGTTGGTTGACATAATGGAGCTATGAAGAATCAAAGTGCAAAGCAATATATAAAAAATGAGTTTGGAAACTTCAGCGTTTTAAGACAGACTTAATTTTTCATGATTTTCCCAAAGCCAGTCATGATATTTATTTAACTTATGGTCTTCAGGATGTACCTGGAAGAAATTAAGAGACAGAAGTCTTATGTAAGTTAGTCAGAAATATATTTTTTAAATTGGCTTTTTAAAGATATAGTGGGAGAACAGTACATAACATACCTGGAAATTACAACCTTTAAACTAATGGGACTCATAAATTTTAAAATTATATCTTTCATTAAGGTAATCCTCTACGATTTATAAAGTACTTTCTGATTTAGTACTGATATTCACCAGAACCCAAGGTGTGAAGTGGTGATAACATAATCGAGTATTAATATGCCATTTTCCAGTAGGAGGTTATAGACTCAGAGGGTTAAATGGATTGCTCAAGTCACAATAAATGGTGGAGCAAATATGGACTTGGCCAAACCTATGAACTAAATGCTTTAGGGCAGTCACAGACTAAGAGGGCAGTGTAACAGGCAACCTGGCAGTGCCCATCAGCTGCCAGGACACCACCTAGATGCTTGTGTGCTGGGTAAACTCAATAGAATGGGCAACTGAAGTAGGACCTAGTTACCACAAAAATAGCCTGAGAACACTGAGAGGAACCCAACAAGCATGTGTTCCAAGCTCAAATCTGCCTGCTTTCCTTTAGTGGTGTACTTTTGCAACCTAGTATGATTATGACAGGAGGAAAACCACATCAGGCTTAGAGACAGTACATAAATGGGAATGACAGGAATAGGGCCAAGTGATAACTGCTGGAGGTCAGTTAGAGGCCACACCAAGGAGTTTTTATTGACTTGGGAATATCTATGGATCTCCTCCCTGCTGCCAATAACCCCATGCCACCTGCTGTACTGCAAGCTTGGAACAAAACTGGTTGTGACTGTAATTGCATATGTGTCCAAGAAATAGCTATAGCCATGATGGTGGACTTATTTTATCTCAGAGACAAAATGGGCTCAATATGTTCTGGCTGCAAGTGGGCCTTACCTGCTTCCACTCATTGATGCAAAAAATTCGGTAGGAGTCATTGCCATATTTGCCAATCCCATGAAGTTCAATCGGATATCTCCACTGCTTCGTCAGATATTCATCTGAGAATACAACAGCCCACACATATCAGGCCAGTTTTTAGGAAGATTCTTTCTCTAAATGTATGGTGATGGGGGGCTGGATGGAGAGAACAGCCGAAAGGGACAGGAAAGAATCTTTCCTAACAACCTCAGTTGTGATTGCTCTTTCTTCTGAATTGCCGAAGCACCTCTTTCTGAACTTTTCATCTGCCACTTACTGACCATTATTGTTTTGTGCTAACTAGATAGAAGTAATGTCCTGAGATTGACTGGGCTTTCTGCTTCACTGACTTCTTCCTCTAATTATGCTCACATGGCCTGACCCAGTACTGGACAAAGATTTATTGCCTGGGTCGATGGGAGACTGTGGTTTAGGGCAAGTGGACTGTTTTCAAATGTCTTCAGTGATTGAGTTGAATGACCTCTATTAATGTAGCATCCGAAGATATTAAAGTTTAAGGTGTGGCTGTCTTAAATAGGCAGTTTATATTTATTCCTTTGAGTTTATGGGAAAGTACCTGAGAACTTGATAATGGTTTTTGCTCGAAGTTCATAGAGACCAAGAGGTTTAAGAAGTTCTGACACATCTCTCCAGTCTGCGGTTCTTGCTACCTCAGCTGAAGGATACTTCTCCAGAAACTCCCAAAGCACAGGGATTGCCATTTTGCCTGGGAAGAAAAGATAACTATGTGATTATGAGCCTATAGATGGGCTGATTTAGGTTCAAGGACTTCCTCATCTAGGAATCTCGTATAGAACTTTTTTTTTCTTTTTAAATCATTTATGAGAAGCCATTACCTGAAACAAAAACCACTTTCAGAGTAAAAAACACCAATAACCTATTTGGTTAACAATCCGGATTATGCTAAAACCTGGACCTGCATAATATTAGTTTTTAAATAATCAGATCATCAGATTAACAAGTGTAAAAGCATATAGAACACAAGGTGTTAATGGCATTTAAAAAAGCATTCAATGAAAAAATGCTTTTATACATGACTGAGAGTGGAAGGATGTTATGTAACTTATTTTAATTGATGACCAAAACTAATTTGGAAGTAGAAAATAAATGTAAATCTAATCCTTAGTGCTACAAAGACTGTTAGATGTCATGTAGTCTAACTTTCTCATGGGTGAAGAGTTTGAAGACTGAAAGGGGAAGGCCTGAGGTCACATAGACTTAAAATTAAACTTGAACTCAGACTTCCTAATCAATTCAATGCTCTTTCTCCTCACCACACTGTCTTTACTAAGGCAAAGATTAAAATAATCCACAAACCTGAGGTCCGATTGAGAAATATAGTAGCAATGAGGAGCTTCCATGGATCGTGAAAAAGTGTTTCTTGGACAAGATTAAAAGGTGACCGAGGAGGTGTCCACTTCTTAAAGGCTTTGCGTCGTGGGGGGCTAAGAGCTAAACAAACACACTGCATCAGAGTTGGACTTCTGAAATAGATTTAAAATCTGATTTTCTGATTGAGAAAGGGATACCTTCTTTGTTATATTTGCTGGAAAAATATAGGCTTGTTTTCCTTTTTTCTGTTTGTGACCGTGGAATGGTGTCTTCTGAAAAGGAACAGTGAACATTGTTTATAGAATCTATGGTTTAGCCTTAAGAAATATTCAGAGATAATAATGATGATAATAATATTATAAAACATTTAGTATGTGCCAGTCACTATGCTAAGCACTTTACAAAAATTAACAAATTTAAGCCTACTAATGACCTATGAGGTAGGTACTATTTTATCTCCACTTTACAGATATGGAAATTGAGGTAGAGAGAGGCTAAGTAAACTACCCAAGGCTAAGTATCAGAGCTGAAATTAAGATACAGATGGTGTGGCTCCTGAGTTCAGGCCATTAACCACTGTGTTACACTAGTTCTTTATGATTTATGTTTAGAGTTCATAGTATTGAAAAATTGGAAATCATATGAAATATTTCAAATAATGACACATTTGTACAATGTTGTCATTAAAATATTTTTGAGACTATATTATAGAGATCTTCCCAAATCACTAACAGGTGAAAAAAGGCAATATTCTACATACGATCTCAATTTAATTTAAAAAAAAAGAAAAATATATAATACTGAGATTAGAATAAAATAAAATTATAAAATTAGTATATGCCAGTCACTATGCTAAGCACTTTACAAAAATTAACAAATTTAAGCCTACTAATGACCTATTAGGTACTATTTTATCTCCACTTTACAGATATGGAAATTGAGGTAGAGAGAGGCTAAGTAAACTACCCAAGGCTAAGTATCAGAGCTGAAATTAAGATACAGATAGTGTGGCTCCTGAGTTCAGGCCATTAACCACTGTGTTACACTAGTTCTTTATGATTTATGTTTAGAGTTCATAGTATTGAAAAATTGGAAATCATATGAAATATTTCAAATAATGACACATTTGTACAATGTTGTCATTAAAATATTTTTGAGACTATATTATGGAGATCTTCCCAAATCACTAACAGGTGAAAAAAGGCAATATTCTACATATGATCCCAATTTAATTAAAAAAAAAAAAGAAAAATATATAATACCGAGATTAGAATAAAATAAACCAAAACAGTATAATAGTTGTTACTGAATAGTAATTTTTCTTTCTTTAATTTTTTTATATTTTCCAAAATTTAAAAACCATTGATTTGGGCTTTGGAACACCTAAGACCACTATCTACTGAGAAGCTCAGTTAATTTAACAAAGACTGTTTGACCAGCGTCATCAGGTTTTCTAAGCTTCTAAAATCATCACATTAAATACGTCCTTTAGCCATACTTTTTAAATTTGAATGTCAGTTAATAATACCTTGTATTTGTATAGCATAAAGCCATCTTTTTCACTTCTCGTTTTACTTTACAATAGTCTTGATATGAAAACAGCATTAGTGAGGGTTATTACCTCCATTTTACAGATGAAGGCTTAGAAACTAAGCAACGATTCCGAAACAATAGTAAGTGAATGGAGACTGGGATAAGTATCCCAACCTCTAGATAATTAGTGTAGTGTTTTTTGCTATTCTAGTTTGAAGAGGGAAGGCCTAGTAGAAGGTAAAAAATATTTAGAACAAAGGAAACCGCTGACTAGCTATTTGATAACTTTTTCTGTGGATTCCTATAATTACTAATTAGCCTTCTTTATTACTGGGAGACTGAAAGCTCAGTTTACTTGACAATTTCTACCTAACCAAATGGGAAAGTCTTTACTACTCCATTGGACATCTATTAACCTAAAAACACTTCATCTTATGTTGAGAACTAGACTATTTATAGGATGAATAGATACTTCTATTGTAGTTGCAAAGAGTGTTTTTAATATTTAATTTGCCCACTATACTAGCAATAAATCTAAATAAATAACTACACCTGAAGGTTTTAAGAAGCTCAAAGGGTTTAAAGAACAGACCTGAAGAATTCTTATGCAGTTCCTAGGTATATATGGCCATCTCCATTAACGGTGGTAAAATTCCAGGCACAGCAAAGACATAAAATCATGAGGGGGACTGAGAGCAGGAATCTAACCTGCTGCTCCACCATTTTGTCCAGGTTTTCTCCCCAAATGACTTTAAGTAATTATTATTGTCCTTTAAAAGTTATTCATTACACCATAATGGCATAATGAATAACTAATACCAAGCTGCTCAAAAGGTCTCCTTTTATCTTTTATTCAATGAAGTATTATAAAGGAAAAACTGCTCAGCTCTGAACTCTGTATTAAGAGCATATTACAAATAATAGATGAACTATGCGGGTATAGTTTTAATTATTTAGAGCTCTAAAGCAGTTTAGAGAAGCATAATATTAAAATAGAATATTAAAATGACTATGATATATACAAAATTAAATTGGAAGTCACACATCAGTAATAAGTAACAGGAGGGGTGCAAAGAAAACTGACGATTCTCAATCAGTTTATGCATAAAAAAGGAGTCTTCCCTAAACATCTTAAAGAGTGAAGCCGTTTCATTTTCCCTAAAGTTATAAGATTATTGGCTAGAAAGAAGATAGGAAAAGGGAAAGCACTGTTGAGGAGAGTTCCAGCTGCTGCACCAGGGAGAGATAGTAGCAGCTGTTAATGGAACAATTCTCCTTTGCTGGGGACACTAAGGCAGCAGCCAGCTGATTCCTTCTCTGCCACAGGAAGGGGCTTGAAAATGGATTAGACAAGGTACTAGGAGTTGGTCCCAGCCATGACAGAATGTATCTGACATATGCCCTATTTCTTCATTCTACTACCATATCCTAACTGGGTACAGGCATAAAATACAGTATCTGGGAGTATAAACTCATCACATGTTTACTAGGACTTTAATGCACTGAATACCTTGACATATTTTCACAGTAGACTCTTTCTCAGTTTGCAAGCAGTTGTTGTCCATTTCAGAGCCACATTTTAAATTGTCAATATGCAAATGTTCTTTCCTTTCCCCAACTTCTACTTTAGTTCTTATTTCCTCAGATTCTAAAATGGTATCCTCGCACTTCTCCTTGTGTTCTGCTTCTCTGGTTGAACATAATTTGTTTATGATGCCAGAAGTTATTTGTTCAAAACTAAAATTTGATCTTGAACTCAATGATTTTTCTTTTATAAGTCTCTTTTCTTCACTGGTCACATTGAAGGTCTTGTCGCTTGCTTCGGTGTCAGAAATGCAGAAAGTTCTATCAAGCTGATTTTCTTGTACAATAGGTTCACTTTCAGCTTCTGCCTTATTATACACAGATTCTCTTTCTATATTACTTTGAACAGAATCCAGAAGACTCTCCCGGCACCCAGTTTTAGTTTTTTTAATTTGAATTCCTTTCAGAATAGTCATCTTTCCTTTGGACTTTCTAACCTTTTTGGAGTCAACATCATTAACACTGTCATTCTCTTTCAAAAGCAAATTAATGGAAGTAACGTCGGCTAGTCCTCTGCTTTCCTGCAATTCCAAACTACCACTTGGCAGAGGAAATACATCTTTCTTCCACCTGCTTCTTGTCCTGAGGTTCCGGTTTGAAATGCTACTTTCATTTTGCAGTTGGGATGTTAGAGCCTCTGTGCTACAGTCTTTATATTTTGATTTAATGCCCCTTTTAGAAAGTACAGTAAAATCAAAATCTTCTGGCTTAAGAGAAGTCTCTTCATTTTTATGAAGGTAATTAGCAAGTGAACTTTTGGATCTGAATTTCAGTCCCTGTGGGCTAGAAAATGATATTAAAGGAAACTTATTGCTGGTAAATTAAAGTAACTTTCAAAAAGAATTGGACTGCATTTCAGATTTTTCATTAATAATTTCCAAATGTTGCCATGGACATTTGTCATTTAAAATCAAAACAGTTGTAAAATGGTACTTTTAAAAAGTTTCCCCTATGAAGAATATGATAGTATAATTTTACAAATATAACTTCAGTGCAACCTTACATTAATCATTCACAGTAGAATAAAATGTATGTACTTGTCCCTAAACCACTTAATAAAACTAACTAGTGACACTGAAGGAGTAGAATTGATAAAGGTTTCATGGTAAAAATAGAAAAAAGTCAAGATACCTGCTATGCTTTCCCATTACCTGTCCAGACAAATTTACCACCTTGCATACTCACCTGATAAAATATACATCATATCTTCCTGCTGTTTTTCCAGATACCCTTTGCTTCACAACTCTTTTCCATCCACATGGGACAGACTTATGGCATTCTGTCATTTCAGTACCACCAAACTGAGAAGCAGTAATGGGTTCTTGTAGTAGGGTATTACACTCACTGCTACTTTTTATGACCATTTGTTTCTCATCTTCTACTCTTTCTGACCCCACAGCAACATCTTCCTTTCTGAGAAAACAAAGTACAAATAATTAGCTCATTTAAAATTTATTTTACTGTGCCTATTCAATTTCAATCCATGACAGAGCAGGAACCACACAGACTATTTGGGTTATGGGACAGATTATAATCGGTATCGACCAGTCTTATGGTAGTATCTTCCTGCCCTCCAACATCTTCCTATCCTTCAACATGAGTTAAAAAAGGTTAGAAATCTCTGCACAATGAAAAGCTCAAGGTACTTGCTAGAAACTTTTTTATTAATCATTGAATAAGACTATTATAAAGATTTCTAGTGACACCTGGCATAAGTTTTAAAAAAACTGCTTAAAGGAGTTAGTGAGGCACCCTCCTCTTCTTCAAATAAGTGAGGCAAAATTTATATATATATGTGCATTTTTCTAGGGGAGAGTGTCTATCACTTTCATCAGATGCTGTAACCCTTCAGAAGGTAAATAATTTATGACAAAGAATTTTCAAATCTCTTATATTCTTGGTAGGATAAGGATTTGTCTAATTTTATTGATAAATTGAATGACAGGAAGATTAAGTTACTTTCAGAGCTGATACCAGAACTCAGATCTACTAAATATCGGTCTAATTCTTCTCTGCCTGTACTATTATTATTGAAAAACTTCAGTAGAATGTATCTTAATCATTAAATCGCACATTTTAAAAATTGGATGGATCCATCAAGATGTCTAACCCAACTTCTTTTCTACAAATAGGGAAACTGAGAGCTAGTAACTAGAAATAAAATCAAGGTCTTCTGATGTAATTTGAGGTTAAATAATTTGGGGGAGTTCGGTGGATCTTGAGAAATTATATAGTTCACAAATTTAGAGATAAGGAAACAAACCTGATGAAAAGAGAAAAAACTATAAAGTCATTAGACTGGGTTCAAATCCCAGCTCTGCATTTACTAGCTGTGTGACCCAAGGTACTTAACTTCTCAACGTCTTTCTTAATCTGTAAAAAGGAGGTAACATCTCTTTTAAAATTCTGAGAATTCGATTTTTAAAGAAAAGTATCATCTTCGCCCCAGATCGCACATATACAACTACTCAATACATGAATGTAGCTTCCTGTTATCTCTCATAGGACCCATTTTGGGGGCGCCCCGGGCTGCGAAACATGACATCTCCTCCAATGCCTTCCTAAGATCCTCCAACCCAAGGAGACCTTTCCTTGCACCACTTCCCTGCTCCCTCCAGCTCCTTTGTCATTTCGGGTAAGGAAAGTCGGGAGCACCCAAGGCTAACCCCACTGGAATAGTACCTGAGCTCCCCTTAACTCCTAGTAACTAACCCTTGCGCCTTGAGGTCTCTATTGACTTTAGGTTAGAAAGGCCCATCCGCATTTTAGGCCCCCTCTCCCATTTTACAGGTGGTGAAAGTGAAGATTGCAAGGGGGTAATAACTTGCCGGAGGTCACACGGCCGCTCTGGGACTAGGCGCTCACTGGAGGTGACCGAGGGGGCAGCTTCACAGTTCCCCAGGCTCGGACTCTCCATCACAGTCGTGACCCCTCAAGCGGGCTCCTGCTGCACCAATCGGCCGACAGGATGCGACGCCGTGGATGTGGAGCAGAATTAGATGTGAAAACTTCTTCAGCTCAGCATCAGGCCGAAATCTAAAGCTAAGGGCAGGGTAAGCCTGACAGACTCCGCAGGCGCTTTCCGGCCGTCCAGTCGGCCACAGCTCAGCCAATCGAGTCCCTTGTGGAAGAAGACGCACCGCCCCCCGCTCATTCCGACCAATCGCACGCGCCTTCCAACTTCGCTTTTGCGCCTTTATGAGCCCTCCCTTTAGACATGCGCACTCGGAACTCTGCCTCGCGCGTAGCTCACTGCGCATGTGCGTTGCCAGGGGTAGCGCAGGTAGCCAAAGTGGCTTGTGGAGAGGGCCCTGTTGCTGAGGCTGGGAGGAGGGGCCCGAGGCGTGAGTGAAGCCGCGATGAGGGCCGTGTTGACGTGGAGAGATAAAGCCGAGCAGTGGTGAGGAGCAGGGCAGTTCGGGAGGAGTGGGAGGCCGAGCTCTGGCGGGGGTGGCGGGAGCCATCGTGTGGATTCTTGTGGTTGCCAAGGGCAACGGGACTGCGGCCTAGGCTGAGGGCACAGAACCCTGGGTCTAGGCGACTGTAAGGTCGCCCTCCCACCCCTTTACGGGCAGAGAAACTGAGACCTGGAGAGGGGGCAAAGGGATGTACCACGCGTGAGGCAGTGGCCTGTGGATGCGGTTTCACACATAATCAAAATCTGATCTTGTCGCTCCCTTATAATCCATCCCGTGCTCATCTTACAGCCACAACGATATTTCTCCAATTTTTGCCATATCCACATATTACCCATAGTCTTATTTACTTGACATTTTTCTCTAAATTGTCTCCTTTATTTACACTTGGTTAGGATTTTACATTTTATGATTTTACAAGGAAACTTTATTGCTCCATATTTAAAAATCAATATCACTTGCTATAATAAGATAACTGTAAAACTTAAAGAAAGGAGAAACAAAAGAGTGTTAATAAGTTGTAGCTAGCTACTGTTGTTAGGAAGCTTTTAAGCTCGTGGTCTACTGTCTGGAACTGGAGATTTAGCAAGTATGATCAGAGATGTGCTTGAGATGAATAGCATCAAACTGAGCCATTTTCCCATGCTTAATTAGAAATTTTGAAAGAGAATGACTTTCTTACCTTGTGATTCAATGTTATTTAATGTCCTAATCCATTTTTATCACCTAAATCCATCAAATAGTGATACATTTTGTGAAATACTAACTTACTGGATAGTTCTCTTTAGCCTGACTTTCAAAATCTTCCTACATGCTCTTTTCAGCTTCATTGTGAAGTTTTGACCACTGGAACAGGATATTAGCCATTCCCTCTATGTCTTTTCTTAGGTCTTTCTGTGTGAAAAAAGCATGCCTTTTTTCCTTATCTCACATTGAAATCCTGAACATCCTGTAAGGCTCCCTTTGGAGATGGTCGCTCTCTCTTTTGTACTCTACACTAATAATAGCTAACACTTACTATGTGCCAGGCACTGGCTAAGAACTTCATATCTTCAGTCTCACTGCCACCTCACAACAGCCCTCTGAGGTCGGTACTATAATTACCTCTATTTTACATATGAGGAGAGTAAAGCACAGAGAGGGTAATTAATTTGCTAAGGTCACACAGTGAGTCGTTGCTGGAGCCAGCTTTCAAGCTCAGGTCTTTCTCACTCCAAAGCCAGTGGTTTTAGCCACTACATTAATTTTTATTTTTATTACAGAAGTTACATACTCAAATGCCTGCAGGAGTCAGGCAGGCAACATAAATGGGAGATGTTTATTTGCATCTTAAACACAAAGAATTGTCTGTTTTCTCTAGGAGTATTCTTCTATATCCCACTTTTCTTGAAACACATAGCTTACCACTTCTACTTTGTTTTTGTTGTTGTTGTTGGTGGTGGTGTAATAGCTTTATTTAGTTCAAATCAAGGCGTCACATGTTCTATCCCACCATGATGAAGCAACATTTAGCTCTTCTTTGTAGCCGGAATTCAGGAAATCATGTCCAATGACTCCTGAGATTCTTCTTGGCCATAGATTTCGTTTGGAGCCTGCTGAAAATGGTGTCATGGCCCTTCATTTTCCTTATCAGTCACATCAAAGGGATGTTCTCATATTCAGCGTACTTACTATTGTAGTTCAAAAATACGGAATGCTTCACGAATTTACGTGTCATCCTTGTGCAGGGGCCATGCTAATCTTCTCTGTATTGTTCCAATTTTAGTATATGTGCTGCCAAAGTGAGCACTTACCGCTTCTACTTTTAATAGAGATTTGTCTTAAAAAATTCCTTTTTTACTTTTTTCTTAACTCTTTTATAAAAGTACTTCACAGCACTGGCTGATGATAACTGGCAACTGAACATTTGGATCTGATGTTAGAGAGTAATAGGGAATGGCAAAGAGTGTGGCAAACTGGAGAGCTCATGCTCTGCCTAAAAGGGGCAGCTACTGCTCAGATCCTGCCAATTACCACCCTGCAGGAATTTGGTCTTGTGTGCTCAGATCTTCCTATTTTCATCAGACACTAGGAATCTGGGTTTTTATGTAAAATGCCCTAATGTTTAAATGTTGGAACCTTTCTTAAAACAAGCAAAAAACCCCAAACAAACAAACAAACAAACAAAAAACCAGAATAAAGGATCATGTGGCCCAAACAAAACATTTGCTGGCCAAATACAGCCTGATTTGCTCCCAGTTTTCAACCGATGGTGTAGAATTTTATTCATTCCTTTTTTTGTGATACTTACAATCTGTGGAAGAGTTATTTGTGAATCTGTTTATTCTAGAAGTTTATAAACTCTTTAAAAGCTATGTTTTAGTCATTTCCAGATTATTCCAGAGCCTAGTCAAATCAGTGGTTATTGTGATTATTTGATGGATAGATGGATAGATATAATGAATGGATGAGTGAATAAACAATGAATGAAGATTGGTTATTTGATTTGGGTTCATGACAAATTTGAAACAACCTGTTAGATTAGGAGCTGCATGAGTTCTGTAGACCAGCAATCCTGATGGCAGCTACACATGCCAGCTTATAGCCCAGAAGGAGACAAAAGAAAAAAAAAAACTATAAGAAATGGATATTAGAACTAAAAAAAATTCCCAGATATCAAAGATTAGTCTTCCACAACCAAACCAACGTAACCTTCACATATCAGCAGAAATTCTTTTTTGAGTCCTGCCGCTGTGATCTGTTACTCTACTTCTCATAAACCTAGAGTGACTCCCAATTATCTTCTACATCAAATTGTGAACTAGTTGGTCCTACTTACCCTCACCTCCAATTGCTAACGTTTAAATTTATGCTTTTCAGTTCAGCTGAATACTCCATTTTCCTATCCAAAAGCCCTTCCTTCCCAAATGCTCTTAATTCTTCTCTGAACTCCCTCATTTTCTCCCTGAAAAGCACTGCTCTAGGTTCAATCCTACTGTGATGCCTTGTTTAGC